GTCGTTAAATAGGGACGACAATTATCAACGGCGTCGACATTTGTGAATGAAATCAATACTGAGCATTTTTTTAGCGGCGACAACTATTGCCGATATTGGTGTCGCTGCTATTGTTTTTATTCGAAGCGGAGCCTCAGCCATTGGATTTGAGTCTCGATCGGATGGATGAGGTTTACTAGAAACGGTTCATGCGGACTCGGTCCCTTAGGCATTACCAGCTACGCATTAGCGGCGACAAAAGTTTTTAGCAGTGACACTTGCGTTGCAGCTAAAGGCTTGTAGTACTCACTACTCATAAAGGTCATTTTCCTTGTATAGGAATCATATTTCAAATCTTACCGATTATTTTATAAAATGTTATATTGTTGATATGTAATTTGAGTTTAATCATATTTCAAATCTTAGCGATTATCTTATAAAATGTCATATTGTTGAAATGCCTAGCATCAGCAACCAAACAAAATCAAGGAAAATTCATATCATAAAGAAAATCAAATAAACACAAATCAATTGGAATTATGTTCCTAAAGAATTAATAAGCGAAACTAACCATAAATGCAGTTGCAACATAAAATAATTACTCTCCTAACTAAACTCTAATCTAATTCATGAATTCAGGACTCTTCATAGACCAAGCACCCACACTCTCAACAGTGACGGTTTCCGTACCGTTGTTAAATAAAAACAAATGTGCATCTTCGGCCACTGCAATTGTCGGATAAACCCTCGATGTTATGACAGTCTTTCCACCCTCACCAAAGCTTTCAACAACTGAGTGATCGATCAAGCTTCTAAGTGAAAGCGTCTTTGCAGTTAAATCAACATCCACAAAGCCTGCAAATGATGGCTTGTACTCGTTCTTGTTCAAGGTGGAACTGTGAACATCATATAACAAAATGAAAGTCAATATTTAGGACAGGAGACTTTGCAACAATGAATCGCTTTTGAGTCAATTACAATTCTATACTTTTGTTGGCTATGAGAGAGAGAGAGAGAGAGAGAGAGAGAGAGAGAGAGAGAGAGAGAGAGAGAGAGAGAGAGAGAG